TCAATTGGTGTGGTTACTTGAACTTCCATGGCCATTGCCTTATCAGGTGAGTTGTTAATAGGAAGATCACTTTCAATTATTGACTGATTTGTTGATAATGGTTGTAAGGTATATTGTGTTTGTTCTACCTGTTCTATCATATCCAGGTATTTGTCTTCTAGAAAGGGAGCTAGAAGATCTTCTTCTTTTTTTTGTCCTATGGCCTATAAGTAAAGGATATGTTGTCTAAGAATATTGGCTTTAATGAAGGTAGTGTGATCAACATCCAGAATTCTAGCAATGATACTATCAATAATCGAGTATCTAGTTGGACCTGGGACTAGATTCGTGATAGTTTCTTGAGTTGAAGTAATATTCAAGAAGGTTTGTGAGGCTCATAACTTTCTTTGTTAATCATATTTATCTGTTAGTTGAATTAAAGTTTCAATGATATGTGCTTCTCTTTTCTTAGCAACCTGTAAGAGTTTGTGTTTTCTCGTAGACATGTTGATTACGTGATATGAAGAGTAGGTTACTATATACGGTGTTGATATGTTTTATTAACTGTTAATTTATAAGAATTCAAGATTTATTATAAATTATTTATATAATTATGCAAATCCTTAGCCAGTATAGAAAAATATTTATCTTGATTATTTTTAAATATGATCTTCTTTTAATAAAATTATCTAAAGCAATACAAGATAAGTCAATTTAAAAAAATTTTTTTTTGTATTATTGTACAAGTAGATACAGAATACTATTTTAATTATTTTTGATTTTTATTAAAAAAGTTTATCTAATTATAGTAAAGATTATAAAATATTATAATTATTTTTAGAGTTATAGTTAGTTATCTATCTTTAGTTATTAAATAAATTTTTTTCAGTTTTTTCAAATAGATAAAAATTATAACCAATTTTCTTTATAGCAAAATTAAATTTGATATAGTAGGTATAAATAATAAAGTCAAAAAATTTTTAAAAATATTATGTCATTCTTGAATATTTTTATTAAAGAAATTTAAGAAAATCAATAAATTTTCTTTACTGATATATAAATTAAATTGATTCAAATTAGCTTTTCTTTATAATAAACTATTCAATAGAATAAAGTAATTAAGATATTACAATATGAAAATATTAAAAGCAATTAAGAAACAGGCAATATATTTTTAATTGAAAAAGTGCTCAAAGAATAAACAATCTATGATATTAAAATAATAATAATAATGTAAGATTTTATTAATTTTATAAAATTTTAGAAATGTTTTATTGATAATTATTTCTTGTATTTATAGAATAAGTTTTGATTTAAATGTTCAATAAAATAAGATTAAGTTATTATTTCAAAAAAAAATAATTTTATATCAGATCAAAATATTTTTATTGAAATCGATATATAAATATTTTTTATATTAAAATTTTATTAAATTTAAAAAATTATTGTAGTTCTAAAAATAAGATTCTAAAGTTTATTTTTTGGTTAATTTATAAAAATAGATTAGATATAATTGATATAATCAGATTAAAAACCTTTTTTATATAATTTTGCAATAATTTTATTTTAGTTCAATAATTAATAAAAAATTAAAAAAATTTTTTTTTATAATCTAATTATTAAATTCTATTTGATTTTTATATAGTATTAAAAAACTTTAGATTTTATAATCACAATTTAAAAGTATTACTAATGTATTATGAATTTATAGGTCTAAAAATTTTTTTCTTATTAAAATAATTAATAATAAATTATTTATATAAACCAATTTAATAATAAGGAAATTGAATTTCTATAAATAAATAAAATATAAAATATATTAGAACCAAGAAGAAATATAAAATACTTGTTATAATATTTAGTTGATAAAAATAAATTATAAAAAAATATATAAAATAAAAGATTAAAAGCAATTTTAAAAAATTTTTTATCGATTGTTATAAAAAAAAAAAAGAAATATAACTGATAATAAATAAAAAAGTAATTGAAAAAAGTAATAAATAAACATTCAAACTGATTTAATAGATCTTTAAGATCACTTAAAATACATTATAAATTTACAAAAATTTAATAAAAAATAGTTTATAAAAATAATAAAGCTAAAATATTATTAAAAAACAATCAAAACTAAAACAAAAAAAATAAATATTAAAAAAGATTTAAAAAAATTTGAAATACAAAATATAAAAAAATTGTCAGATGAGAAGGTATCTACAAAGGTAAATATTTATTCACTTCATTTCAAATTTGATTTCGTTTGTCATAATTTTTATGAGATCTTTGTCTTCTATCTTCTCTTCTTCTGGTTTTTATATATTTTTGATTTTATTGGAGTTTGTTGAACAAAGCAATTTAAAAGTCTTCTAATCTCGTTATGCTTAGTCAAAACTTGGGAAATGACTTTGCAATAGTGATCTACAAGCAATGATATTAGTAGTTGAAAGGGTATTTACCTGAACTACTAATAAAGTAAAAAATCACTTTCGAAATTGTACTCAGAGTTTGTTAACTAGGACGAGCGAGTTGGTTAGAGAATTAGCTTTAGCAATATATACTGTAAATTATGTACAGTTTACAAATGCTTATATCGCTAACCTGACAAAGGGTTAAAAAATAAAAAAATATAATGAAAAATATAAGTTTGTCATTATAGAAGTTTATTCGCATTCATTTCTATATTATACAAGATCTAAATGCATGTTTTAATTTTTCGCTCAAGATGCAAATTTAAAATTATTAATGTCAAATAAATAGATGTATGTAATTTGGGTTAAAGAACGTCAAGAAATATAAGAAAAAAGTAAGCCATAATCCATGTTTACTACGTAATATTATTGAAATCACCAAGCTGTCTTTATATAACTCACATTTCTTATTCATCTTTATTCACATATTCGATCCTTTCATCAACATCTTCGTTAATATTGTCAGCAACTTTGCCATTTTTTTCGGCCACAATGTTTTCTTCCTCGCTCAATTCTTCATCATCGTAGACAATAGACTTTGCATTTTTTATAAATTCTCTGATTTTATTCAAGTCTTTAACACCATCCGTCTCGACTCCACTCGATACATCAACGCACCAAGGTTTTACTACTTTTATGGCTTCGATAACATTATCGGGTGTTAATCCTCCTGCCAAGATTAAGGGAAACCCATTTTTTCCTCCAACATCTCTCGATACGCTTGATTTAATATCCAATGCTATTTTCCAATCAAAAGTAACCCCAGCTCCACCTTGATGTTGTTCCTTTGAATACTCGGATACTGTCACTTTTGTGTCCAACAAACAAAATGCGTTGTAGCCGGGTTGGGTGACTATCACCGGATTAGAGAATTTTTCGTCAATATGAAATGCTTTAATCACGGGTACCGGTATGAATTTTGCGAGGTCTAGTGGTTCATCACCATGTAATTGAACCAAATCTAATTTCAAGAAATCAACTATTTTAATTATTTCGTCTAATGATTGATTCTGAAATACTCCAACTACCAGTGGTTTTCTCGGGTTTTTATTTATTCTTTCCGCATGCAATTTAAACCAATCGTGTTGCTCAGACAATAAATGTTTTTGAGAAGTTCCATCTTTACTATTCGGTTCATGACCTTTTTCTAATTGAAGCTCGCGCAAATATGTGACAATCTCTAATGCTCGATCGATTGATATTTGTCTTCTTGATTTGGTGAATATAAGTCCAATAAAATCAGCACCCGCATCTGTAGCCTCTACTGCTGCTTCAACCGTTGAAATTCCACAAATTTTTACCAAGGGAGTTACAGATTCATCAACTGGCAGTTTTAGAGGTTCTTCCAATGCGAGTATCTCACGAATAAATGCCCGCTTATCATCTGACTTCATTAATGCTTCTCCAATTAATAACGCACCAACACCTTGTTCAAGATATCCAATAACGTCTTCCCTTCCTGTTATTCCACTTAAAGCTGCCAAAACAACATCATCAGGAACCATCTCGGCCAGGAGAGTCGTAGTATTCATATCAACATCAAACGTATGCAAATTTCTATTATTCACCCCAATTACCTTTGCTCCCAACTTAACGGCTCTTAACATTTCTTCTTCATTATTAACCTCTACTAATGGTTCCATGCCAAGAGATTTGGAAAATTTGTATAATTCCGTAAGCTTTTCATCTGACAACAAAGCGACAATTAATAATATGGTGTCAGCTCCATAGAGACGCGCCTCCATGATTTGATAAGTATCCATTATAAAGTCCTTCCTCAATACGGCTGGTCGATTCGAGATAGTTGATAAAACATCGCGAACTTGACGCATATCGTTTAAAGTGCCCTTGAACCATTTTGTCTCCGTCAACACAGAAATCACTGATGCACCTGCTTTTGCATAGGTAAGTGCTTGTTCAGCAGCATTCACAAATATATCGATGTTTCCCTTGCTTGGTGACGCTCTTTTAACTTCAGCAAATATAGCTGGATATTTTAACAAATTTTGCTTGATCCTCGCCACGAAATCGATTAAAGGAGGAGCGACATGAAGGGATAATAACTTCTTGTAATCGTGTGGAGATGATCCAGGTTGTTTTTTGGCATTCTCTACATCAACTAACCGTTGATTTCGAATCTTTTCCAAAATCGAAGGAAGAGAATTTTTTGGAACTGAAGATTTTGCGAGCGGAGCTTTCACACCAAACTCCGGGTTATCTTCCCATTTTCCACCTTTTAATTTCAAGAAATTTTCTAAGATAATTTTCCCATGTTCACTAAGAATACTTTCTGGATGAAATTGGACGCCTTCAATAGTAAATTCCCGATGTCTAACACTCATCATGACTCCTGTTTCACTCCAACTAGAAACCTCCAACTCGTCGGGAATAGTATGCGGTTGAGCAGCCAGAGAATGATATCTGATAGCCGAAATATCCTTGGGCACATTGATATAAATTCCTTTACCATCATGTTTTATAA